AGATCAACTTGCTTTGGTTTTCAATTGTTTGAAATGGTGCTTGGTGTGTGGTTTTGAAAATGTTTTGAAAAAGATGCCTTGTATAGGCTACCCTTGTAACAATTCTTTACTCGAATGTTTTACAAAAGGTGTTCGTCTTTTTGAAAAGATGTTCCAAGGTTTTTTGAAAGTTTGTTGTGAAAGTGTTTGTGAAGTGTGGTTTGAAAATTGGCAAGAGTTTTGTTTTTGCAAGTTGGCAAGTACTTAAGAGCTATCTACCCTAAAGTTCTCAAAGATTTTTACTATGTTTTAACCCTTTTGACAATTTTGTTCCACCATTGCATTTGGTGGACAATCTTGTATTAGGAGGTGAAAGGGACGGGCGCGGGTCATCGTTTAGACCATAATTGCAATAGTGCTAAGTATCTTTGGGCAATTTCTCTTTGAAAGGGACTTGATCATTTTAGGCAACTTTTCGAAAGCGTCATCGAGGGACTATGATCATTTGATTGTTCGTTTTACCCAAAGAAACCTAACATGCAATATGGCCCATTTATTTGAAGGCAACAAAGTGGAATACCCTAGGAGTGCAAGTGTGATATGTGTTGTCCATATTTCATGCTTGTTTATCTTGAAATTAGGTCAAACTATTTTGTTCTTTTTATTTGCATACAAACCCTAACTCTAGCATGGTATATTTAGAAAACGATAAAGTGCGAAAATTAAAATTCCTACACTATTACAACACAATATGGGAATGGGGGTACAAATGTTCAAATGGGGGATATTTAGACAAGAAATTAAAACCTAGCTATTACATCAATTTTGAATAATACAAGATAATTGATTGCATAAATTAAATGGGAAATAACATAAAGATGCAAAATGCAAAAAGGGTTTTCATATGTATGAAAAAAAAAGTATTATTTATGTCAAATAAATAAAAATATAAAAAAAGTATTATTTTGGAGTTTTTGTATTTTAAGGGTAAAACCCTAATTTTTATTAAGTAATATATATATTATTTAATTTATACAAGTATTTGTTTATTATGTACAAAAATAAAATAAAATGAAGTATATTTATAAAAAGTATTTTTTTTTATGTCAAATATTAATAAAATAAAAAATATAGGTATTTTTGTATTTTAACCTAAATATATATATATATATATATATATATATATATATATATATATATATATATATATATATATATATATATATATATATATATATATATATATATATATATTGTATTAATTTCTAAATATGTATTATGTATATAAAAATAATAATATTTAATATTATATATAAAAAAAGTATATTTTACATAAAATATTTTCAAAAGAAAAAAAAGAAATAAAAATCAGAAATAAAACATATTTACATTATTTTTTCTAGTTTTCCTAAATAATAGTATATATATATGTTTATGTATAAATGATTCCTATAAACAAATAAATGCTTAAAAATAGAAAAAAGGTGTAAAAAATGTTTTTTATGTTTTTAATATCATTAGGAAAAATAAATAAACCAAAATGAAAAAAGAAAAATCAAAAAATCAATAAAAACACACAAATTGGGCTCAGGGGGTGTGAAATCAGAAATATGGTGTGAAAAGAAATTCAGAAGCAAGCCCAGCCCATGAAGCTTCTTCTTCAACCTCTGAACAAAAAATGTTCAAAAAACGCGCGCCTGTACTTCAAATTCAAACACCTGGATCCTTTGATCTTTTGCACAAACTTCCAACATAAGAAATGTTAAGCATTGAATCACGATTCTAAATATATATAAAACTCATCCTAACTCTTAGAAATGAGAGAGAATTTTGACAATCCCAAATCCTGACCTAAGTTTTCTTCCATATTCAGACCTTAAATTCTCACAGCTCAAGCAAAATAAATGAAAAGTAAAAGCATGTACAGGTTCAGGGGCATGAGTAGAACATTTCTTATTCACAAACCTAGAGTTAATGATGCCTAGACTAAGAGTTAGAAGTTCAAGAAAATACCTGTTCAGTTGAAGTTCTATCTGGCAATGGGGGAGCTTTCAGAGCAAGATGATGATCTGTACAGCTTGCCTGAAGTGTGGTGATGCTATTCCAATGCTTACTTTGCTTTGAAACACCTTGAATCGAGCTATGGACCTTCAACTGCAAAATAAGAAAGTGAAAATGGTGGAACTGGTTAGAGGAGTTACAGGTCGTGTTTTAGGTTTTGGTTAGCTTGCATTGATGCTAGGGAATGTGTTTGATGAGCTTTGAGCAGGAAAGCATGCAAGGGATGAGAGTTAGCACTCAAACTGCAGTGAGGACTCTGTTTGAGCAGTTTGATGGTGGTTCTGAGTTTGTGGAGGTATTGGAGGTATTGGATTCGTGTGCTAGCTTAGTTATGATGATTAGAAAGTGTATACAATATTTGCTTAAGTGTTCTAATGCTGAGATGAGAGTTATGTTATGTTATGCCACTTTTCTTCACACTTAAGCAAGCAAAGCCAAGTTGATCTTCTAGGCCAGTAGAGGCCCCCTAAACATGTTGCTAACCTTGTCTTGATTAGTGTGTTTTGCTCATAATTCTGTGCCAATTAGATTTCATTTGTACTTGTGGATTTGCAACTTTGACATAAAGCTTGCTTTTGCAAAAATGGTTATTTCACTTTTTCCATAAATGGCTTAATTCAACATGTAATGCACAAACTCATGAAACAAAGCCTTAGCACAATGAACATGCATTAAATTATTGAGTGTTGGATGGTTTAGAGGCCTGTAATGTAGCACAAACCAAGCTGACTTGAAAATGGCATAAGTTATGAACATGTACATGACCAATTCAAAAGTGAGTTTTGGCCATATTGCAAAATTCGAATCTCTCAAGTTATGAGGTTGTTTGATGAGTTCTTGGACATTTTGGAAAGCTTGGAATGTGTACTACAATCCATCTTTGAAATGCAAATTGAAATTCCAAGTGGAAGTGTATGGAAAATGGCCTTGAAGTTAGGTAGAAAACCTTGCCAAAATAGGTTAAAATTTCACTAAGTTAAGAATGGTTTAGTACCCTTATTCAAAAAATTGTAACTTGAGATACAAGCCTCTTTTGGGAAAACTTTGTGAATCAAAGTTGTAGATTATGCAACAAGCTACAACTTTCATGTTTTGACTTTTGTTTGAATTCAAATGAATCTTGGTGAGAAAGTGGGGCAAAGTTGGGAAAAAATTAGGGTTTTTCATAACTTAGAAAAATTCTAAGTTATGAAAAATTCTCATTTCTAACCCTAATTTGCATTTTTTGATTTCTTGGTGAACAAGTTTCATGATTTGGCATGTTTTGATAAAAAATGAATCTTGACCCTTGATTTTGACCAAAAAGTCAAAGTTTGACTTTTCAGTATACAGTCAAAATTGATCAATTGATTGGGAAATTCAACTGTCAATTTTGTGCATTTGGGATCTTTTGAGTTTGTTGAGCATGTCAAGATAATTCCATGGGGTCCTTGAGTCCATATGTGATCTTGGTTTGCCATTGGCTAGGTCAAACAGTCAAAAATTGCCTTTGTGCAGTCAAAACCCTAAAAATGACCATTTTGCCCTTTTGATGATCTGATCAAATTTCTTGTGGAATTGTGATCCAAACTTGACCAAATGGTTCATATGAGTTCATAATGTTGATGTGGGTCAATTTTCATGAGATTTGACTGTCAATTGGCCACCGTTGACTTTTTCCCCAATACAGCTGATTTCTAGATCAATTGTCCAATTGACTGGGCAAAACTTGGAATCAAGACTTGAAACTTGATATGAATAAACTTGGGAGTCCAATATGAAGCAAGAAAGTTATCTTAGGCATTTTAGGTCAAAACATCTTTGTGCAAACACAAACCCTAATTTGGGTCAACAGTGCAAGGAGAAGTCTTGAGCAGATGAAACCCTAACTGGATCTTGATCTTCAAGGGCTTTGTGGTGAGAAATCAATGAGAAATAGGAGGGCAAATTTTGGGGTACAACAACAATAACCTTCAGATAATGGTCCCAAAAATTAGAACACGGCAAACTCAGGACAACAAAGCAAAACACAACAACATGATAAACAGACAAAATAACTAAACATATCATAATATCTAAGAGATAAAAACCATCAACACAATATTGTCTGGTCCAAGCATCATCATCATGACACCAGCGTCACATTTCATCTTTTTCGTTCCTCATTGTAATTTGCCTTTCTATTTTTCTGATCTGTTTACCTTAAGGAATGTCTCCTTCCAACCAGCGAATCAAGTGCTTCTGAAAATGCTTGATCGTCTGCGTGTTCCAGAGTTTGATCTTCATCAGAGACTTTGTTGCCAAAAAATAACATGAGCATCTCTTTTGTTCAGTGAAAACCTTGGCAATGGAGTGAAAGCCATTTTCTAAGAGTGATGTGAGAAATGGTGTGAAAAATAGTAAAAATGGATGGTTGCATTTATAGAAAACCAAATACAACTGTTAAATCATCTATTAGAACGCTTCCTCCTTAAAATTACATGCATGTGTCACACTGTACGACACTATATAGGAAGACAAGTCATGCAGTGTAGTGCCTCCTCTCTAACTTACATGCATGCGTCACACAAAGTGGCTTGACCTCTGTGTAACAAATTTATTTTATTTGAAAAATGATTACTTTAGTAATTTAAAAAAAAAATTATTTAAACTCTAATTTACATACATATTTATTTTGTTTGAAAAGTGATTACTTTAGTAATTTTAAAAAAAAATTATTTAAAAAAAATCTCATTTTCAGCACCTCATTAGAACCATTCTAGCAAATTATGGTAACACTTTTTAAGTTTGACAATTTTTTTCCTAGCGCAAAATTGAATATAAATATCTAACATGATTTTTCGAACTTTATGATTCACATTGTGGTCCCCACCCCAAAGATACTTCAAAATATCTTTCTTCTGTTTAAAATATCTACGCTTTACTACATTCATCACTCTAACTTCACTTTTCAATTAACTCTCGCCGCGGCGCCACACAAAATGTCGAAAACCACCGCATCCGCCGCCGACTTCGACACGCCGACACTAGACACGGAGTCTTCCACACTCCTCCACTCCATTTACGAACACGGAGGATACGCCTACGTGAGGATGGCCTCACAAGCTGCCGCCGGCGACGTCCGCGCGGCGGAGGCGGTTAGGGAGATGGCGTGGGAGCAACTTCACTCGGGACCGTGGCACTCTGTGTTGCCGGTGTGGCGTGACGCGTACTCGATGGCGTGTCTTCACGTGGCGAAGCACCACTACGGAAACGGCGAATTTAAGGAGGCGCTTAGGGCTTTGGATATGGGGATCATCATGGGAGGGAGTCTGCTTAGAAAGGATTTGGACTCTGCTATTGGTAAGGTTTCTGAAAAGGCTAGGATCCTTAGGGTTTCTGATAGCGACGATCATCGACTCGTTGATCTAGATTTTGATGTGTCTAAGGTGAGGTTCCTTCCTCTTTTTCTTTTCTTTTTGAAAAGATTTTGAATCACAAGGGTTAGGGATGGTGTTCTCACACCGACACTTACACATCTTTTTTCGGAGGTATTGGTGCTGCTTATAATGAAATCAGAAAATGAGTGAGATGATTATTTTATGGCTGCATTTGCTTTTTTGTCCTTTCTAACGTTTACTTTATAGCTTTTACAATTTAGGTGCTCCAACTTTTACCTTTGAAGTCCCTTGCTTCGAAGCTTGTGGTGAAGAGGTCTGCCCTGTCGCTGGAGAATTTCCTGAAAGATCATTACCTGTCTGGCACCCCAGTTATCATTAGTGATTGCATGGCGCACTGGCCAGCCAAGAAAAACTGGAATAATAAAGAGTACTTGCTAAGAGTTGCTGGTGATCGCACTGTTCCGGTTGAGGTAATTACTCTAGTTGGTATATTTGTTATTATAATGCACGGTACTCTCTTTGAAGAACAAATGTATAGAGAGAAAGTTTGTAAAGCTTGGTGCATTGGTTTAGTTTCTTGAATTCACAGGGAAAAACACATGGCTGATTGACAATTTTCTACTTGCATCACACACATGGCTGGTTTAGTTCCTTTGCATTAAATAAACTTAACTAGCGATGACTAAACCGTAATTAATCTTTGGTCACATATGTTCATTAGCAGGTGGATTCAAAGTTATATCCTGAAATTTAAGTTCTTTTTGGTAATTTTTTTACTACTGCTAGTATTTTTGGAAAAGTAAAGGTGTCTGATTGTAGAGAAAAGAATTGCAAGTGAAATTTAATTAAGTGAAAAGTCTACATTGGACACTGCATTGACAAGCCCAAATTTAATACACTTTGAGTATATAGACAATGTATTTATTATCTTCTAATCATAACTTATTTATTGTCTGCCCTTTGTATATAGCTAAATTTATTTCTACAGGCAGCAAAAATTGGTCATGAACTCATGCACAATTTATTCTTTCACTTGGAACATATGCAATTAATTTCTTGCATTGTGTGCTTATCCCTTCAAATATGTCTGGTTGTGTAGTCTTAAAAATGCGCTATCTAGAAATCCTATAACTTTTACCCTGTCATACTTCTAACTTTTACCCTGTCATACTTTTAACAAGTGAATACACAATTTATTTTGGTTGCAACAGTTGGTGAGTGAAGTCCTCACACCCACTCACCCCTCTTCTGTGACAATTCCTAGCAGATTCTGTTTTAGCCACCAAGTTGTTTAACTGGAAATGCATGAGATAAAAGTTGAGAGATTTGCTTCATATGATTGTGAATGTTATTTGTAATTGCAGTACCTTACATCTTTACACTGTTATTTTGTTACCTCTAGTACTGTTTGTATTTGTCCCGATACGGCGATACCTCTTGTAATTTTTTTTATGGCAAGGTTGTTGAATTTGTTTAACAGTATACTGGAAATCCACACACAGACAACCCCCAAAAAGAAAGAATGGGGTGGAGTGGATATTCTGATGTATTATAATTTTTTTAAGCCAAAATATCTGAAGAAAAGGGTAAGTGTGCAACATTCTTTGCAGGTTGGGAAAAACTATTTATGCTCAGATTGGAAGCAAGAACTAGTTACATTTTCAGAGTTTCTTGAGCGGATAAGCTCCCATGGCTGTTCTCCCAGTGGTCCTACATATCTTGCTCAGCATCCATTATTTGATCAGGTATTCAAAGTTTAGATTTATTTTTGTCTACAATTCTAATTGCAATTCTCACATGCAAGTTCTGGATTTGTACTTCTTGTTTCAGTTTCTGACGTTATTGAATTGGCAGATAAATGAGCTTCGGAAAGATATCTTTATTCCTGACTATTGTTTTGCTGGTGGAGGGGAGCTAAGATCTCTCAATGCTTGGTTTGGTCCAGCTGGAACAGTAACACCATTACACCATGATCCACATCATAACATACTTGCACAGGTATTTCCGTTGTATACTTGTATACTTCCTCTTCAAAAAAAATTGTATAATTGTATTAAACAATTGCAATTTAAAGCTGCTCGTTACTCACCTCCCCCAGGCCCTGCCCTGCCCGAAATAAAGTCATGTTAGGTACCCCTTTCTGTTATGGCTCTTGTTTGTTTTGAGCACTTGTAAGCATTTATTACTGAAATAGAGATCCTTAAGTCCAACTTCGATCGATACTACTATCAAGCCTTCTCTATTTATGCATCTTACTTGATAAAACTGTTATTATGGTTCTAAATGTATAATTTATAGCTTGCAACCTGGCATGGCATTGTTGATGTACTTCCAGCAAAGCAGAATACAAAGTTCAGATTCTAGGCCTTATTTTAAAAGAAACCTGTGATACATGAGGATGACGGTGTGGTTTAGCTAATATTCCAGTTATTTAAATTGTTTGCAAGATGCTGCTTGCATTATTGATGCAGATATGCAAAGGATTTCTTTGCACCACGGAATAATCTCTTTGACAGATGTTATTGTCTTGTTTCACACGTCCAGGTTGTTGGGAAAAAATACATTAGGCTTTATCCAGCATCTTTATCTGAGGAGCTTTTCCCTTACTCAGAAACCATGCTTAGCAATTCCAGCCAGGTATGTAGTTTCTTGAACTGTATATAATTGAATATTTTCCCGTGCAGTCAACTTATGGCGTATGGAATAGGTTTAAACCCCCACGACTATGCCTATTGAGATTTTGCAAAGTGGATCCATTCCCTATGTGTTCATTTAGTTAGGTGTTTGTATTATTGCTTTTGATATTTTTGAAAGTATGTCTCCATGTTAACACTGGTCATTTTTTATTGTTTGAAGGTTGATTTAGATGACGTAGATGAAATGAAGTTTCCTAAGGTGCAAGACTTGGAATTCGTAGACTGTATTTTAGAGGAAGGTGAAATGTTATACATCCCGCCAAAGTGGTGGCACTATGTGCGGTCTTTAACTACCAGTCTATCAGTTAGCTTTTGGTGGAGTGAGGGTGAAAGTTCATCGCCATCCTAATGTCGTATCACGCTGAAGTCTATATGTCGTTATTAATTGAGAAGACCAGCATATCCTTAGTTGCGTTGCTAATATCTATGTGATTGATCCTTTTACATCCCAATTACAGTAGTATCCTCGTGCATGAACATCATTTTCATTTTTCAGCATCTGATGTCATCGCCATAATATATTTACATAAGGAAATGTATTAATAGAGCTACTAAAACAAACATTTTGATATTTGACTGGGATCCATGCCCTTCAATTCAAAGAATGAATCAATGTGATAATACTCTTGTCTGTTTGTATTGAATTTGAAAACAGTGCATCTTGCTAAAATATTCAAGCTTTGGTTTATGCATCAACGTTTTATCTGACTAGGTTGTTCCAAGTTGGTACTAGATTATTTATCTGTTTATTTTTTCTTGCTTTTGTCTATTTTGAAAAATGGATAAACAACAACACACAAATATAATTGGTGGTGTGTTCCACTCATTCGTTGCTTTGGTCTCCTACAGTATTATAAACAAGAGGGTTTGATTTATTTTTCATGATCTTTTGTGGATTGTATGAAAAACACGATTATGACAGCAACTACATGAAATAAGCTTTACAAGGTAGGCTTAAAACTTTGAAATATCTGCATTTATCTGTTTCTGAATATGCTTTTTCTTAAATTTTTTCCAAACTTAAGCACATGAGTGTGTGGCTTGCATTAGTAAGAATTATTTTATTTTATTTTATTTTATTTTGCTAATTATCAGCTGCACTTCTGAATCTTCGCATACTCAGTGGCAACCATAAAAAATTCATAAATCGGGTCTGCAATAGATTAAACGAATTTGAACGAATATTAGTTATAACATGTTTGCTTTCTTACAGTGAAATAATTCAATATTTCCTAATTTTATTTAGGCTGTAGGTTTGTACCTGCAAAGAACCTTACACCTCAAGACCCTATCTTTAACATAAAACCCTGGCATAACCATGATCTTAACTTTGCTTGGACCCTGTGACCTTGAACACATATCTTCCATGTAGCGAGGATCGAAGTTTCTATTCTCTTCAACTCTTAAAACTCCCAACGGTGGGTTGGAAGAAAAGGCAAGCAAATGTAGCAGCCACATGCATTTTGCAGTCACAAAGAAAGTTTGAAGGAGTTGCTCAGGCCAAGGCCTGGTACAATTTAGAGTACTGGTAATACAGCTCATTTTCTGATCACAAAACTTGCTAAATTCTTCACTGTAATACTTTGTTCCCTTTCTCAGTACCTCATTCCAGCTCAAATTTCTAAGGGCAACGAATGACGAGAATTTTGCTTGGCGATCTTCATGCGGGTCTATGAATTTCGGACAACCGTTCTTTTGAAAAGCACAATTCTCAAAGTCTTGGTAGAGAGACTGATTTATGAATGCTTCAAAATGGTATAGAACTGCTTTTGAGTACTTGGAATTTAGTGACAGCTTATATGGCTGAAGAAGCGAGTTCAAGGTTTCTGTCATAGAATTATCATTTTCTTCAATGTTGTTAATAAGTGTCTTACAAAACTGTTTCACCGATAATCTTGACTCTGATACTATCTGCAAGAATCCCTCTATCATTACTTCCTCATTCACAGGCATTGAATTTTCAACATTTCCATCAATTGATTTTCCTCTCTGATGAAGATTACTAAGCTTAACCTGTTCACAAAGTTCAGAACCCCTTGCCTGCATCTGCATGGATTGTTTCAAAGCTTTCTTCAGTTCTTCACAGTAACTCTCTAAATACTCCATCTTCTGGCTCAGCTCCCCCAACGAAGTTCTCATCTCAGAAACTTCCATTAAAGCCACATCTCTATTCCCGTTTGCTTCTATCAGCTCTTTCTTCAATGCCTCAACTGACGTTATTCCTATGTCCTTTAAAACCTGAGAAACATCCTCAGATTCTGCTCTACTCGGAGAATTCTCATTCTTATGCTTCCTCTTTAACCGAGGAAACAGCCACGAAATCACACCTTTGCTTTTGGTTTCGGACTGAAATGACGAATGGGAATCTGCAACCGAAACAACAACATTGGAGCTCTTGCTATTCCTTACACTCTCTAACTCACTCGTTATGACCGCAGGGTTACATTTATTACAGGAGGACACCGATTTGTAATCCTCTAAACTGTTTCTTCTCGTAGGTGATGTCTGAAGAACAGTGATGTGATTTGCACAAGAACCAGTTACAGATTTGGTGTCATCAGCAGGACATATGTGAGATTCTAAATTGGTATAACCACAAGGTAGTAGTATCCCTTTTCTTGAACTTGGTTTCTCAAATGTTTCTATGCTGTTTCCTGATTCTCCATCCCAACTTTCTGATATTGCTATGCTTTTCATGTGATTTTGATTGTACAATACAATTGGATCATCTTCATAACTCTGTCAATAATCATCAGATTTAGAAATTTACTATCCGGCAAAATTTAAGATTTGTTTGGGGGTGAGAAATTAGGGAATTACAAACTATGTAGCATCAACACTTTAGACACTTCAGATTGAAGATGTGTGCGATGTCTAACACATGTCAGAACCGAACGACACTGACACATGTGGTTACATTACATACACATTACATATGACAAGAAAAATAAAGTTGAAAACTTTGAGAAAACATAAGATAGGGAAATGAGAGCAAAGATTAAAGATGTAACTGAAACAACAATGAATCTACCAAACAAGCTATAAAAAAGAATAAATTCTATAATTTAGCAACTATGACAGATGAGAATTATAAATTATTGCATGTTCCATAATTTCAGGTGATTTGGGTTCTGTCCCTATCATGATAAACCATAACAATCATATTTCATGCATAATCTAAAAATTCTAAAGTAAAATTTTTTTTTAACAAAAAAAGCATTTTGAAATCAATAGAACATAAATTCCCATACCCTATTAGAAAATCAAAACTGAAGGAAAAAAAGAAATTCTCACAGGGGTGAAAACAGGGTAATCATGAGCAGAGAACTGAGAAACAGAGCGTGAAACAGAGGACGGATGTGGAAATTTAGCATTGGTAGAGCTATTTCCTCGCATTAAAGCAGCATGAATAGCTCTTAACTCCACTGCTTTGGCTATGGCAGCCTTAATTTCCTGTCTTGTAGCTTCTGTGTTTCCATTGTTGTTGTCTTTGAAAACTTGTGATGAAGTACTAGTTGCAGCCATGAAACAGAACAGAACAGGGAAAAAAAACAAAACAGAACAGAACATGTAAATTTTCTAGAAGATAATAATAATAATAATAATAATAATAATAATAATAATAATAATAATAATAATAATAATAATAATATACTCACTATAGATAAAGGCTATTTCTTATAGGTGATGATAATAACAAAGTGGTTAAGTGGTGTTGAATTTTCAACGGTTGGATTTGATTTGGAAGTTATATATAAAGAATGAGAGATAGAGAGAATCACCTAAGTGTAACTATTTTTGTTTTTATTCTGATTGAAAAATTAATGGAATGAGAAGGGCATGTGAATGTAACGATGTGAAAATGAGAGAATGAAGTTTTGACTCTTTCTTAGTGCATAGTGTGTTGTTAATTTACAAATATGCCCATGTATATGTATGTTCCAAAATTGACCGTAATAGGTGGTGTGATAGTGTGGTACCACTGTTTCATATCATATAATTATCACTTTAGTACGAACTTAGGTTCCATGCCACTATGTTCCATCACTATATATGTGGTGTGGCCAAGTAAATCTTTAAATGTATTGATTGTGAAAAAAATGATTCTTGCTAAAAACGAGATAAATTAAATGTAATGTGATTTTTTTTCGAACAACAATAAATTAGAGATAAGAACCAATTATAGTGTCAAAAATTAGAATTTCTAGTAATGTGTTCGTATAGCAGAGGTGGGTTAGAGCATAAATCTAATAGATTAAAATATCAACCAAAAAAAATATACAAGACGGGAAAAATAGTCTTTGGAGTGGAAGAGGTCGAATCTGCTTTCATCCCATCCAATGTTAAACATGAAAGATGCTGAAAATCGATTTTTGTTTAGTATAAAGTGGAAGAGGCTGAGCTTACTTTTGACCCATCTATTGTGGTACATGTGAGATGGTGAAAATCAACTTGTGTTCATGACAGAGTAGAAGAGGTTGAACCCACTTTCGAATCATCAATTGTCATACATGTGAGGTTGTGAAAACTGACTTCGTTCATGACAGAGTGGAAAAGGTTGACCCTGCTTTCGGTCCATTTGTTATTCATGCAGAAAATTTCTTATTGTATTTTAGATAGGGAAAAAAATCTTTATAAAAATCGAAAATGCCCCCAAAAATGTATTTTTGGTGCACATTCTAAATCTCATAATGGGCAGGCTAAATTACGTTACACTCTAATTTAACGTAAAAAAACGTATAGGAAATCCGAAGTATTTTCAAAAATGTATTTTCGATAAAAATCATCCTAAAAGATGCACTCCAATTAAAAAAAAAAAGTAACATAGTAACATCCTCTGCTTTAATAAAGAATACCACTCTAAACTCATCAATGGTAATTAGTGTTTCAAATCATTTTTATCCACAACAAACATGTGACAATACACATTCAACATGAATAATACATGATTTTCATTTAGAAATTAGTAAACCAAATACTATTTTTTATAAAATAGAAAGCTGCAACTTTGCATTCTTTTAATATCAATAAAGTGGAAAAAGCTCAAAAATGTAAATCATATAAAGAAGAAAAAAATATTCTAAAGAAAAAATTAAAACCATCAACGAGCATCCATCATATCTAATCCAAACATCACTTAATTCAAAATTGCGAACATTTGAAAGTAATGTTGGGTAAAGTTCAATTTCTAATATTTTCATAAATGGCACAGGCCTTTTGACACCAACTGTGACTGTTACCGGAAATATATTTTTGAGAATATTTCGGAAGTGTATTTTCGGTATAAAATTTATCGTAAAATAAGATGAATATAAAAAATGAGTGAACTATGTGTATAGGATGCTTATC